ACTCGACATCGTCCTAGAAAGGCCAAACAACAACACGCCAGTCAGAAGGCGCGGCTCACACCCCACACCGCATCCCAGCACACGTGCAGTCGGCGGGGTCGCCTCGAACACGGCGGCGGCGTGGACGCCGATGCGCTGGAGGCACGGGTGGCACCTCGCGGCGAGGCACCTATACGCATCAGCAAGGCCCCGGGGGGAAAGCCCGCGCTGAGAGAGGGCTCTCTCTGACGGCTGGCACCGGCGTGTGTGGCGAGGTGTGTACTGGATCGCTCGGAGGTGGAAGTACGCGTTGGCGACTTTGTGGCCCGAGCCGAGCCCGGACTTTGCGCGGCCCACGCGATGCCCCTTCTCAATCTGGTTCCGCAGGTTCCCGTACGGCGCGTTGAGCACGAAGAGCGGCTGGTCCGGCGACGCGCCGCCGACCCGGAGCTGCGGCCACGCGGTGCTAGCGAGAGGTGGCTGCGGGCCTGCCGACGAGGCGTTGGTGGAGGGCGAGAGGTAGATCCGGACCGGCGAGCCGTAAACTGGAGGCTCCCACCGCACGTCGAAGTCCTGTGGGTGCATGGGCGGCAACTCGATCCTGCACCAGTTGTCGCCGCCACGGTCGAGCCACGCGCGTAGCCGCGCGCCGCGCTGCGGCGTCGATACGGAGTAGAAGACGGGGAAGGGAGGGGGCGCCTCCCTCATCCTCGATCCTGCACCAGCTCGACGACGAGGCGGCCGATATTATCTCCTGTCCCCGGGCGAGCGGCGGCGGCGGTAAGGGGCGACAGGAGCGCCGTGATCGGATTCACACATGGCGGAGAGAGCGGCAGGGGCTGACGGTGGTGGCAAGTTCGTGGTGGGAGCTGGCAGCGAGCCCGGCTGACTCCCGCCCAGAGCTGCCAAACCTGCGGCTTGTTGAACTGGCGTTTGTGGCGTGTGCGCAGGCCATGCGGTGGGCATGTCGGCCGGGACTGCGGGGCCGACGGCAGCGGAGGGAGTCTCTGGGGATGGCTCAGAAGAAGGCTGGGCAGGCCCACTGTCGGCTGGTTGCTCGGGCGAGGTCATCGCGCGCATGCCAGGCCGCGCGCACGCGCAAAGTACGGCCGTCCATTTAGGCGAGTGAGAAGAATTTTGCGTTGACCTCACTTGAGCCGACGCGAGTCCGAGCCCGCTGTTGGCGCCGGTGACGACGACGGTCAAGCCTCTCTCGGCAGCCAGGCCGTTGGTCAGTGCTTGGGGAGCGAGCACGTCCCACTGGAGCACGCAGGCGACCATGGCGGCAGGGAGCGCGAGGATGGACAGCGGCGGGCGGTGGTAGAGGAGAGTGGCCACGAGGACGAGGACGAGGAGACCGTGGGTGCGGAGGAGGTGGTAGGTTTGGCCGAGGCGGAGGAAGAGGAAGGCAGCGGCGTAAGTGCAGCCGAGGGCGCGGACTAGGTTCATGGTCAAGAGCAAGGAGTGAAAAAGAATTGCGCGAGCTCACTTGAGCTCCCGGCGCCCATCAGCTTCGACACGGGCGATGATCGTCTTGCTGGTTTCGCTCGGGCTGGCGCTGACCCGGCTTCACTCTCCGCTGATGCAGCTCCACCACTCGGGCGAAAAGATGTCCCGCGTGACGCTCCCCGGCTGGGAGGACGACTCGTCTCGGGAAAGCCGGACGACATCTACTCGG